TTCACTGGTACTTCACTGGTACTTCAATTTACTTCACTGGTACTTCAATTTACTTCACTGGTACTTCATTGTACTTCACATCTACTTCACTTCTACTTCAATCGGGATTTCATTTGTACTTCAAGTACTAGTGAGGTACTTGTGAAGTACTAGTGAAGTATAGTGAAGTACAACTGAAGTACATTGAAGTACCAGTGAAGTATGAGTGAAGTACGAATGAAGTACAAGTGAAGTACGGGTGAAGTAGAGTGAAGTATCGGTGAAGTATCAGTGAAGTATCAGTGAAGTAGGGTGAAGTAGATTGAAGTATGAGTGAAGTAGATGTGAAGTAGATTGAAGTACGGGTGAAGTAGAGTGAAGTATCAGTGAAGTATCAGTGAAGTATTAGTGAAGTAGAGTGAAGTATCGGTGAAGTAGGGTGAAGTACGGGTGAAGTAGAGTGAAGTATCAGTGAAGTACCGGTGAAGTACCGATGAAGTACGGATGAAGTACTAGTGAAGTACACACTCCTGAAGTCTCGCTTTTTCCCCCTTGGAATATTTACTCGCCAAAAAAAATACCAACGACTTGCTTGGCAACAAAACGTCATTTCTTTAATTATACAAAATAAAAGTATTAGTAAAATTAAAGAAAGGCAAAAAATCAACATAGAATATATTTTTTTAAAAGAAATACAACATTTTTCACGAGAAGTTTATTTATACACATAAGTGTTATCATATCAGAATTGAACTTATATGCAAGTTCTGTTTCAAAAAAGAGTATCAGATAGCAGTCACAAACAGGCTTAAATGAAAATACATTTTATAACGTCTGTATTGGTTGGGAGTATGGAGTTGGTTTTTCGTATGGTGACATTTGATTGTAAGGTGGTGGTTGAACATAGGGTGTTGTTTGAAAGAAACCTGGAGGTGCATATTGATTTTGTTGTTGCGCTAAAAACTGCTGTGTAGCTAGAGGCATGACACCCATTCTTTGTTTGCAACACCATGGTGCTTTTTTATAACAACAACATACAATTACTATGACAATAATAGTGACGCCAATAGTAGCAGTGGGTACCAGAATGGCTATTAGTGTAGTGGATGTTCCACTGTTGGTGGAGGAATGAGTTTTTGCTGAACATATATTCAGAATAATTGACGAAATAATAAATATAAAAAATGCTGCCATCGGCAAAAAATGTTTTACTCAAATAAAAGTAGAAAATTGAAGAAAAGAAAAGAAAAGAATGATATTGACTTTAATGGAATCGTAACGTCGACGGAAAACGTAATGAACACGCTATTGCTCCGTCTAACTTCAATTTTTTTTTTCTTTTTCCTCTTGTCAGCTCTTTAAAGTGTTCAGAGTAACGCATCCCCGTAACAACACTGTTAACAACAACGTTATTGACTCTGATTTTTTTGTGAAACTCACTAATAGTTTTTGAAAGAAAAATAGTAAATTTAAGTTTTAAGACATGGTTTTCTAGTTCCTCTATCTACCACCCTATGGTAGACCGTAGCAACTAGTAGTAAAACTCATTGAATACACTTTACTTGATAACTTGATAAGAAACGTAGTTAAAATACATACATAAAGGATGTTACGGGAGTTCTGAAACGAGGGTGAAACTTTTACAGATTGTTCATCATAACTATTACTATATAATCA